TGTTCCTACATATGCAAATTAACCACCATTTTTGTTGGCAGTTAACTGCTGTCTTAGTTGGCAGTTAATTTGCATATAGCCCTGATTAGCCAATGAAAAGGGTAGCATTGTACGCCAATTACCATTTTTCTCTTTTATTAGTGTAGATTAAAATGATTATGAATACTATCTAGCAGAATAGAAAATGCTTATAAAATTAAGGGGAATACAAAATCATCCATTCATTAGTATTGAGATAATTAATGACAACTTGTTTTTATATGAATAAACTTTTATTAAATTTTAGATAATTAGAAATAAAGAAATGCAAGATAAATGCTTTCTAAACATCTGATATCATCTCTGTGTCATAGTATTTTCACACTTGTGTTTATTAAAAAGTATACACATTCATTTATTTAAATTTTTTTTTATAAAGTCAAGAACCATCAAATGAAAAAAATAAGCAATGCTAAAGTAAATTCAGTTTTCATCAGTATTGGAATGGTTAGGTTCTGATCTTAGCCCTCTTGGAAAAATAGTGTAGGCAGCAGCTGTTGGTTTCCATTTAGTCAAATAAGTCTGAAAATGAGGAGGCCACTCCCTGTGGTAACTATGCTTGTAGGAAAACAGAGCAAAAAGCATAGTGGGATGAGGGAGTAAGAGACAATACTGGGAAAAGAAAAGATGCTCCTATGGAATCATGGAGGTCAGGATCGTAACTAATTTAGGGAAAAGTCTGGGAAGAAAACATTTGTGTGCTGCTTATAGTGTGATTAAGGCAAAATAGTCACCAATCCAAGTATGACCCTATCTACAGAGCACAAAACCAAGTGGGGAGTTTGTAAATTACCAGGTGAACTCTAAGGCCACACCGGGTAATTAATCACAAAAGGAGTCTCTTTACAGGGGTATAAAATGCATTTGGACACAACTGCAACCCTGAGCTCTGACAAGTACAGGGCAGACCCTCCCAGGAGCAAACCTGAAGACACATCCTTTCTGTCTCAGTACCATCTTTCACAAAAATAATTATTTTGAAGAAAAACAAAACAACTCCTGCCCTGTAACAACCTACTAACCTCTGCTTGTCAAACAAGGAGAAAGTTATCTCCCTCAGCACAAAAGGCATCAGGTGCTGCCCTCATTAGGAGTGACCCGGTGTGATAGCAGAGCACCCCGGACGCCCTGCTCCGAGAGGCCGCCAGGGATGCTCCAGTCCCTGGACCTGCCTGCCTCCCTGTCCTGTGCCGCCCCCCAGCCTCCGGGGCCCAATGAACAGTCACTGACTGTAGTGTTAACTAGCAACAGTCTTTTATTTCCTAGTCCAATGCCTCCATGTATTTTTTAAAAAACCAATACATTTCTTTTAAAAAAATACTTTCCCGGGAAATAATGAACAGTAATTGTCATGAATCTGTAGCAGACCCTAGAAAAACCTAGACAGGCAAGAATCTGTCCATAGAGCAATATTCCAAATATGAAATTCATAGTTCAGAAATAAGGAACTATGAATCGGCTTCTCAAAGAAGTTTCTTTTGTTCCCCACCACCACCACCACCTCTTACTGAATTCTGCTTGTGTAAAAAGTTTTGATTCTGTGATGAAGGGACAGATACTAACCATTCATGCCCTTTGCCCTCTACGTATAGAGGGGATGGGGAAAGGATGTTCATTACTTTTCTAAAGACACCTATCTTTTAAAACAATGTCATTATTTAAACTCCATCTGGCACTTGAGTCTCTTGAAAGATTTAGGCATGAGCTAGAGAACAAACACATCTGGACTGCAGTGTAGATTTCACGTGCTATTCTGCTCACATCTCTCCCTTGGCTTGGCACATCTTTGAGATCCAGCTTACTGACTAGGATCCCGGGACATCGGAGGCGGAGAAACAAGTCTTCAGGACAGACATTCTGACTCATTTCACAAATCTCAGTGGCCAGGTAACAGCATTAACTTTCTTTTCTGTGCTTTTTACTAGTACCGTGATAAGGAAAGTGTTTCTTTCCCCGCCCTCATCCACCACCCCGACCCTGTGTATGGGGCATCACACTGGCTTTTTTCTGAACACTATCTGCTCATGTCCTATACGAGGGACCCGGCCCGACTCTGGGCTGGCACCATGACCGGGACAGCGCCAATTCGCTCCAGCGTTGCTTGGCTGATGGTGTGGGCATGTGTGTGCTGCAGCCGAGGCTTCCGTCTGCCCGAGCCATTGCTCCTGGGCATGACCTGCGGTGAAGAGCCTCTGTTGGCTGTCACTACCAGAGTCCTATGTGGAGCTGGGACCAGGTGGGTCCCGTTAGCATAGATGGATGGTATGTTGGCATTGCCCGAGTGCAGGGAGAAAGATTGGCGCAAGTCACTGAAGTGGTTGAATGACTCTGTGTTTCTATGAGCTTTTGGATTGTTGCTCCAGTATCGGCTGTTGTAGGTATTAGAGGAGGTCAATGTGTTGTTCTCAGAGGAGGGTATCTCGGTGTGAAATGCTTTGGCAGAAGAACATTTAGGTGGAAGATCATCCTCTCTGAAAAGGAACAGAATAAAGTTGTCATTGGGATTTCCTTCAGGTTTACCTACCAGGACTTTCTTCTACATTAAGGATAACGTGTCTGTGAAATACAAATCCTCAGGAAAGGCCACAGCAGCTCTGGGGGCCTTGGCTTTAACATTCATTCCCTCTGAGACAATGCCCTAGAAATTTTTCCTCAGCTTCTCAGTCTCCAAGACTACAAAAGGACATTTCAAATCTCTCAAAGACTTGTGTTTTCCAATATAACTAAAAAAAAAAAAAGTGTGTGTGTGTGTATGTGTGTGTCTATGCATTTGCTCTAAATAGGAAAATAGTCTGTGAAGAATTCTGCTGAGCTGGCTGCTATAAAATAGCTAGGAAACTAAGCTATGGGTGTGAAGAACTTCAAGAAATGGTTAGAATAGGCCTGATCTTATTGCACTTTGGGGTTTGAGAGACCATTGTGGTCAGCCGAAAAGAAGTTCTCCTCAGTAATGTTATGCTGGGATGAAATCTGTCCCTGCATACATAAACCCTTAAGAATTGGAAGATCCTAAGAGAAGTCATTAATTTAATTTAAGAGGTTAATTCATTTCACAGTTATTGACTATCATTCCACTAGATGTTTCATGTAAAATAGACACAGCTCAGATAGTCAATAAACCTCTGATCAAATGGATGTGACAATTAATATAAGAATATTCTGCAGGGTTGGGTAAAGGGCAAAAATAGTTTATGTGAGGAGGTGATACCTGGACTGATCTTGAATCAGATAAAGGAATTTACTGAATAGATGGAGAAAAAGAAAGGAGTATCACCCAGGAAGAGGGCAAAGGCCCCGAGGCATGAGAGGATGTAGAGTAAATTGGAACACAAGTGATCAGGGAAGTTATGGGAGGTTAAGACCAGTTATGGGAAGCAGGTGAGGGTCAGATCCTGAAGGACTGCATGTGTCATGCTAAGTAGACTGTAGGCATAATTCATCAAAGCTTTTTTTAATAAGGATATGATATGATGCAATCTCATTCTGAGCCTGAAAATTCCTATTTCCACCATATGCCAAAAACCATTTTTCTTGTCCTGGCCAGTGGTTAGAGCACTGGCCTGTGGACCATCAGGTCACTGGTTCGATTCCTGGTCAAGGGCATGTGCCTAGGTTGGGGTTTGTTCCCTGGCTCTGTTTGGGACACGTGCAGGAAGCAACCAAGTGATGTGTCTCTCTCACATAGATGTTTCTCTCCCTCTCTTTCTCTCCCTCTCTCTCTCCCTCTCTCTTCCACTCTCTCTAAAAAAACTAATGGGAAAAATACCCTCTGGCAAGGATTAACAACAAAAAAAAGAGTCACTTTTCTTTAAAGATCATTTTGACATTGTTTTCTTAAGATGTTTATATTCTTGACTGAACTGTCTTTCACACCAAGCCATAGTGCTGTGGCCTATCTGGGTACAGGTATGCTCTTATCATATTCCTTCATGCTTTATGTTCTCATCTATACTATGTGTCAATGTTAAACACATGTTCTAATCTAACTGTTCTACTGTGGCAGCCACCTAGCCCCAGTAACCCTGGAGATCTGGGAGGGAAAGGGGACATTCTTCTCTTGTGTCCTCCTAGTCCTCCCCTTTCATGATCCAGCAGAGAAAGCTGACTAGCACCATGAGGAAAAGTGACAGCACCTACAAGAAAATATCCTTTAGCCATTTTAACTATGTTGGCCATCACAGTCATAAAATAAGCAAAGAAATCTTAGTTTCCCAGAATGAATGGAAATATAGACATTGGCTAAGCGGGACAAATGACCTGACACACAAACCTTATTTCATTAGGAATGTCTTCTTCCTCCTCCTCTTTATTTTTGCGTCTCCAGTAAAAGAATGCCCCTAAAATTAGTGCAATGCAAAAAATGACAATAACTGCACCAGTGCCAACGGCTCCAGCTATTAGTCCAACGCTCCTGGGCTGGGCTGCAAAACATATGTAAGGTGTATTTAAACAACAAAATAAAAGAGAAATAGTATGTACCCGTGCAACTTTATAAACTAAGTTTACTAAAGAATCTCCTTAAAATGTACAAAACTGCCTAAAGTATTGCATCCATATAAAGTTAAACCTCACTTAACTTTCTGTATCCCAGTGCTAGGACTGAGGCACAGCAGGCTCGCAGTTATTCAGGGAATGAACAGTTACCTGACTCAGCTTCAGGAGAGCCACACCTACAGCAGAGCAGGAAAAAGATGGTGCCTGTCTTACCTGCCCGACCTGCCCCACAGGAACCTAGCAATCTGTCGGCTAACTTATCAGCTCATCCCAAACAGATCACTCCCTTTTGCAACTAGAATTCTAATAACCCAGAATTCTCAAATGAAGAGAAAAATTCTGTACTCCTTATTTATGATCGGGGCATTCAACAATTAAGCTGCTATAAGGAATTTGGAGAAAATATAAGGAGGTCTTGTCTTGACCGTGGCCATAGATCATCACAAACTGTATAATGTCTATAGCATTATACCATCAGAACCGATTTGATTCTACTGATTCTGGGGAGAAAGACATTTTGTCATAAAGAAGATGTCATATTGCTGAAGCTGAAATGTATACTAAATACACTTATAAAATATTTTCAATAATGATTAAAACAAATGAATTTCTATTTAATCTTTAAATAACCTTAAAAACAAGTCAGCATCACTCTTCATTCCCAGCCTCAGACCCAAAGTGGACATCAGAATGTTACATACTTACGGGAGATAACCTGGAGATCCAAAAGACAGGTGCTGGTTCCGATGGCATTAGAAGCCACGCACTGGTACAAACCTGAAGACAGTGCGCTGATGTTCCGGATGGTGACTGTTCCTTGGACCTGGTCTGCCAGAAAAATAGAAATCAAGTAGGATTTAGAGGACAAAAATAAGAAAACCGAAGAAATCAGCAGAAGATAAGACTATAAAAATAAACACAGAAGTATCAATAGCTTTCTTTTTTTGGCAGTGATTTTTTTTCATGAATTTTAAAAACCCACATCAGGGCATCGCATTAAAGATCTGTAGATGCACAGGGCTGTCTGTGTAGGCAACGCAGAGCGGAGCCGGGAGCAGCTCATCAGCAAGCGCCGGACTGATTCAGGCACAAGCACATGGCCTATCAGAAAGGCGGTGGGCTGGTTCCTCAGTCCTTCACTTCACTTGGCCTGCTCTGTCATGGAAGCAACTTGTTGAAATGGAGTTAGAAAATAAATGTTCTTTTTGTCTGCTTTCTTTTAAAGAATAGGGAAAGTTCAACAGTGTGGAACCATAATTTTAAAGCACACATGACATTGCACCCCACTCGGTTTTACCTGGCAACACTGTCCCATGAAAGCTATGCAGCCGGACTAAAGTGCCCTTCAGAGGTAGACAGAAGTAAAGGTGTACATTTCCACTTCCATCCTCTCTGCTCAGTTCCAGGCCACTTCTGGATGTGTTCTACACTCAGAGCGCCTGGGCTGCAATCTGCCCTAATACATGTGGTCCCGAATGTGTTACCTCATCTTCATCTATGTCTTTGTTTCCTCATGTGTGACATGGAGCTACCAACGTGCCTCTACATCATGTCTCTGTGAGGACTAAAGGAGATAATGGATGGAACAAGCGTAGTATGGTGCCTGATCATGCTTGCCAAGGAAAAATCCTTCCTGGCATTGCTTGGGAAATTTAAATTTTTTTGAATCATAAAAAAAAAATCAAAAGAAAAAATCATAAGGAAAATGTTGAATGTCTCCAAATTTTCAATACAGACTAGTAGATCAGGATTTGAAGTTGAGAGACAGGCATTCACAAATCATAAATCACTCTATATTTTTATATGACTTATGTATTTTTAAATAATAATCAAAATAAAGTCATTTCTTCCATAAAAGTTCAGAGGTATTCTGTACAAAACAATAATAAATGGATGGCTTATGAATATACTATGGCAAAATAATACATTTCAATAATATGTAAAACATGATCTCAAACTGATATAAACATTTGATAATAAAAAACAGTAAAACTAAATGCCAAATTAAAGTCTATTTAAATACTCAAAGGTAGTATCACAAATACTTAATATTTAAGCTCTGTCATTCTAAAAGAAAATTTTAAAACAATACAGCATTAAGTGCACTATTCAACAGACTTGATCTTTGTTTCATGCCAAATTTTCCAGAGGTAGAAAATTTTATTTAATTTTTGTGGTAATGCTGAATTAAGATATAAATGGAGAATGGACAGGAAGAGAACCTATGCCCATTAAGAGAAGGTCCAAAGCACCTTCAAGGCAGATGTTAGGGTACATCTGCTTCGTACTTGCTCATTTCTTGTATTTAACATTGAAAATGTTTTGTCTCTTTGGTCTGATTTTGCTATTGAAGTAGATATTGCTTTTGCCAATTCAGATTTTAAATCCATTTCTGTTTTCATGTCAGTGTATTCTACAGCAACATTCCCATCTCCTTCTCTTTGCATTTCTGCTGTTGAAGCATTTACAAAGAACTGAAGTCTACAGCAAATATTCAAACACTGGAAAATAGCAACGAGCATTAGTGGGAAATATCTGAATAACGTGATATTTGGATCCCCTTTCTTAACACTAGAGGCCTGATGCACAAAAATTCATATAAGAGTAGGCCTTCCTTCCCCCGGCTGCCGGCACCGGCTTCCCTCCTCCAGCCACCGGCAGACACCCAGGACCTGGGCTGGCTTCGCTCGGGCCACCCACAGGCACCTGGGACCCAGGCTGGCTTCCCTCCGGCCCTGGCTTTGTCAGGAAGGACATCCGGAATGACATCCGGTCCAATTAGCATATTACCCTTTTATTATTATAGATTATTATAGATTACATAGAATCACATGAGCCTCTCCCAATGAGGACTGACTGGGAAGGTACAGCAGGGCAGGGATGAGAGGGAGCAGCACACAGGAGCCGCAAGCAGCATTGGATTGTCAGTTTCGGCCCAATCCCTGCAGGCCACGCCAAGGGACCCTACCCATGCACAAACTCATGCACCAGGCCTCTAGTACCTTTATATGTGTCCCCTCCATTAGACAATATGTCTCTTTAATTTTTTAAATATATTTTTATTGATTTCAGAGAGGAAGCGGGGAAGGAGAGAGAGACAGAAACATCAATGATGAGAATCATTGATCTGCTACCACCTGTACACCCTCTACTGGGGATCGAGCCTGAAACCTGGGCATGTGCCCTGATGGGGAATCAAACCATGACCTCCTGGTTCATAGGTCAACATTCAACCACTGAGCCACACCGGCCAGGCAATAATATGTCTAATTGCACGTATGTCTCTCTACCTTCCATAATACGCTATCCTTAAGTAGTTGTACAGAATAAGGGTTGTATCTATGTATGTACATACACACACACCTTTCAAGAATGGAAGAATGTACAGAAAAACAAATACAGTTCTGATAACCTTAATTTTTTAAGAACAGGGAGTACATCCCACAGGACTTGCTCTTGTCTTCAGTCAGAACGATAAAGAGAAAAATAAGTGCCTGTTCATTCAGCAACTTCAGTGGGTGAAGACTTTGTTACTCTCCTAGGAGAATTATGGAAACACTCTCATTGGGGAGGGGGTCAACAAGGGAAGTTCAGGAAGGAGAATCAAGACGCCTGAGGCTCCCTAACACGGAAGAGGAACAGTAGTTCTTTCTATCCACAGACCCTAGGCAAGCTCAGTGTCCTTCCCAGACCTCAGGCTTCTCCCTGTAACATGCGAGTGCTGGACTCTGGTGATGCTTAAGATACCTTCATGCTCCATCTGTGATCTCCACACAAAGTTCTGCAGAGTTCTCAGCAAGAAGGAGAGCTCATCATCTCTCTCCACTGTGCTATTCAATTATACGTAAAAGGATGAGGACAACACAGGATTCCTTAGGAGCCTTGAAGGAAAAAGGCATAATTTATAAAAAAAAAAAAAACACCCAAGAACAACACTGAAATAAACAGTAGAAGGTATAGGGGAGGATAAAATATAAAACAAAATATTAGCAACCTATCTAAATTTATCCATAATCACAATTAATATAAATGGATGTAATCAAACAAGGGACAAAGGCTCTCAGATTGCAAACTGAAAACCCAACTAAATCTAGACACATGCTATACACAGGAGATACACCTGAAACATAAAGCAAGGACACCCGAAGCATGACAGCAAGAATTAACCGAAGGAAGCCACAACGGGGAAAACATCGCCAGTGGTTTTTCAAGTCAAGATTCCAACCACATCCTCTAACTCCAGAACCTACCCTCTAAGATACACTCTTCTGCTTTGTATACAGAAACAATTTGATGCTGACATGTATATAAACTTGACCAAAAAAAATTTACTAGAAAAACAGGTACAGAAAAATAAAAATAAATTTATACCATTAGAAAAACTGAATCTATAGTCAAAAATCCACCAACAAAACAGAACAGCAAGGCAAAGCTTAGGCAAATTCTACAAAATAATCAGATAATCTCTATCTTATTCATACTGTTGCAGAAAATAGAAAATGAAGAAAAGCCGCCCAACTCATTTTGAGGCCACTGTATAATGTGATACTAAAATTGAACCAAGGACAATAGAAGGCAGAAAACTCATAGGCCATTCTCCTCACTTATGATCACAGATGCAAAAATTCCATTAAAATATTAGGATTCTGAATGGAGCAATTTATTTAAAAATAATCACAAACAGACTTTATTTCAGAAATGTACGGATGGTGCAATGTTTGAAAATCTATTCATGTAATTCACTTACTGACATTTTGGTCTGGATAATTCCTCATTGTGGATGCTGTCCCATGCATCATAGGACGCTTATTAGCAGCAGTCCCAGCCTCTGCCCACGAGCTGCCAGTAGCACCTCCTCCCAGCTGTGATAATAAACATCTCTCAACATTGCCCAGTGGAACTGTCCCTGCTTGAGACCCCTGATGTAGAAGCTGCTGAACTGTCTCAGCCATTATGCTTCCACTTAGTGGAACCTGGGCCACTTGTACAAGCCTTAGAAGCACAGACCAAAGGGCTTTATTTTGCTTGAAATAATATCAACCTTAAATACAGTTTTCACTTACCTTAGAATTCGAAAGTATATACCAAAAGGATAATACTGAATCCACAATTATTTTTCCATATGAAAATGAAGTGTACCTCCTAGGATACTGGTTCTAAATCTACTCATCTCTTGACTATCCACATATGAACTATATGAGGACAACTTTTGGATAGCTTTTATTTTGACATAATTTTAAACTTACAGAAAGTTGCAAGATTATCACAAGGAAGTCTATATATTGTATATCATCTACTCAGATTCAACAACTGTTCATATTTTGGCCTATTAGGTTTATAATTTTTTCACTAAGCATATAAATATTTTTATGAGCCATTTAAGAGTGAGTTGAAGCCTGGCCATGGTGACTCAGTGATTAAGCATTGACCTATGAATTAGGAGGTCAAAGTTCAATTTCTAGTCAGGGTGCATGCTGAGTTAGGCTGCAGGCTAGGTCCCCAGTGGGGGGAGTACAGAAGGCAGCTGATCCATGACTCTCCTTCCTCATCTCTCTCTCTATCCCTTCCTCTCTGAAATCAATAAAAATATTGTGTGTGTGTGTGTGTGTGTGTGTGTGTGTGTTTTAAAGAGTGAGTTGAAGGCACTGGGCCTCTTTACAACTAAGTACTTAGTATTTCCTAAGAACATTCTTCACACAATCACAGGACAAGCATCCAAGTCAAGAAATTTAACACTGGTACAACAGTATTATCTAACCCACAGTTTATGCTCAGATTTCATCAATTGTCCCATTAATGTCCCTTTTGGCTATTTCTTCCTCTGTCCAGATTCTAATTCAGAATTCCGCACTGCATTTAATTGTTTTATCTCCTTAGTCTCTTCCCGCCTGCAACAGTTTGTCTTCCCTTTGGTTTGCTTGATGTTTCCTCCTGATTGGGTTCGGGTTGTGCTTTTGACAGGAATACCACAGCAATGATGTTATGTCCTTCTCAGTGTATATATTAGGAGGCACAGGATAAGAGCTTCTAACAATATTGATAATGTTCACTTTGATCACCTGGTTAAAGTGGTATCCACCGGATCTCTCTACTATAAAGTTACCGTTGACCCTTGAACAACACAGGGGTTCGGGGAACTGACACCGCGCCCCGCCCCCCAGCCCAAGCAGTAGAAAATGTGGATATAATTTTTGACTCCCCAAAGACTTAACTACCAGTAGCCTACTGTTGACCAGAAGCCTTACGGATAACCTAAACAGTCAACACATATTTTGTATGTTATATGTATTATGCATGGTATTGTTACAATAAAGAAAGCTAGAGAAAAGAAAATGCTATTAAGAAAATCATAAGGAAGAGAAAATACATTTACAGTATTTGTTGAAAATGATCTGTATATAAGTGGATCCCTGTAATTCAAACCGTTGTTGTACAGGGGTCAACTGTATTATTTTTTTCTGTGCAACTAATAAGTACTTTGTGGAGACATATTTTGGAACTATGTAAATATCCTACTCCTTATCAAACTTTTGTCCACTATTTTGATATCAGTAATGGCTTTCCTAACCCCACCATTCCTTCTATATACCTTAATAGGTATTCTACTATTGGAAAATGCTTTCCCTTCTCCCCCATTTATTTATGTATATCAGCAGAGATCTAGGTATATCACATTTTATTCAATGGATTATGTATTTATTTTAATGCTCAAATTGCCTCAGATTTGGCTGGAAGAAATGACCTTCAAGCTGGCCCCTATACACAAGGTCAATGCTAATCTCCACATATTATGTGCCTGTCACTAATCAGACATCTGGGGTGCTCTCCCCTGATGTCAAACATTCTTTTCTCAGAGATGCATCCTGAGTTTATATTAAGCAACTGCAAACATATTAATAAAGTAAATCTGAAAAAACTTATGTTGAGATTAAATGTTATTTTGAGATTTACTTTATTTATGTAGCTATCAAGAGGTAGACTTAAAATAAAACTCAAACTCATGTAATGTGATTATGAAACATGAAATTATCTAAAGTAATTCTGATAACTAATCCAGAGTTTGAATTATAAAAGACAAACATTTTTATCTTTGCATCCCAATTCTCTTTTATACCCAAAGAATCAAAAAATATTCAAGTTGCAAAGAAAATATCAAAAAAATGTGCCGTAGCTGGTCTGATTCAGTGGACAAAGGATCAGCCTGCAGACTGGAAAGTCCCAGGTTCAATTCCAGTCAAGGGAACATGCCTGGGTTGCAGGCTCAATCTCCAGAAGGGGGTGTGCAGGAGGAAGCCTACCAATGATTCTGTCTCATCTTTGATGTTTCTATCTTTGTCTCCCTGTCCCTTCCTCTCTGAAATCAATTTTTAAAAATTTTGACTGATACAAAGATATGGAAAGTTCTTTCTACAGATAGTTCACAACTTATATTCAAACAATCACTTTTACATGTTCATTTGTAATTCCAAACTCAATCCAGTATTTCAAAGAAATGTTATAAAATAAATCATAAAATCTTAAGATGAACAAGATCATCTTCAAGATACTGTTTAACCCCCTTATTTTACAAAAGGCAACACAGGCCAAAAGAGGTAAACTACCACAGAAAACTGTCACTGAAAAACCTACAATTTAAATATGATTTCTAGTTCAGTTG